TTCTGCTGAATTAGGCGGATTGCCAGGCTGGCCTGTGGAAGGTCAGCCTACTAAACGATGGCCTAGGAGTAGAGACAGACGTAATATAGGACAGATACTAAGAATTATAAACAGCATGCAGGGTAAGGGAAGTGGCTGTCATTATTTTGGAACTAAATTCCCCTGTATCTCTTTCTTCCTCAAATGTCTCTCTTTTAGCTCTGGTGTAAAGATTTATATATGTAGCACTACCCTCTTGAGGACCGCTGAGTTTTTGGATCCCCCCCCTAAGCTCTGCACAGCCAAGCAACAAGCATTTTGCACATTTCTTCTCTCTCAGTCAGTAAAACAGTCCTTGAGCTTGGTTTTGTTGTTTTTATTAAGGGGTTGACAAATTGGATGGGGCCTAGGGGTATATGAGATGCCCAAAGAACTACAAAACTTGAAGACAAACTTCTTAGCAACAACCAGGAGGAGCTCAGCTATGAGGAAAGATTAAAGGAACTGAATTTATTCTCTCTTGAGAAGAGGAGATTAAGTGGGGACATGATCACCATGTATAATACATAAAGGGGGATATGATCTCCATGTATAATACATAAGGGGGGATATGATCTCCATGTATAATACATAAGGGGGGATATGATCTCCATGTATAATACATAAGGGGGATATGATCTCCATGTATAATACATAAGGGGGGATATGATCTCCATGTATAATACATAAGGGGGATATGATCACCATGTATAATACATAAGGGGGATATGATCTCCATGTATAATACATAAGGGGGGATATGATCTCCATGTATAATACATAAGGGGGGATATGATCTCCATGTATAATACATAAGGGGGATATGATCTCCATGTATAATACATAAGGGGGATATGATCTCCATGTATAATACATAAGGGGGATATGATCTCCATGTATAATACATAAGGGGGGGTATGATCTCCATGTATAATACATAAGGGGGGATATGATCTCCATGTATAATACATAAGGGGGGATATGATCTCCATGTATAATACATAAGGGGGGATATGATCTCCATGTATAATACATAAGGGGGGATATGATCTCCATGTATAATACATAAGGGGGGATATGATCTCCATGTATAATACATAAGGGGGGTATGATCACCATGTAAAATACATAAGGGGGGGATATGATCACCATGTACAATACATAAGGGGGGATATGATCTCCATGTATAATACATAAGGGGGGATATGATCTCCATGTATAATACATAAGGGGGGATATGATCTCCATGTATAAAACATAAGGGGGGATATGATCTCCATGTATAAAACATAAGGGGAGATATGATCTCCATGTATAAAACATAAGGGGGGATATGATCTCTATGTATAATACATAAGGGGGGATATGATCACCATGTATAATATATAAGGGGGGATATGATCAACATATATAAACACATCAGTGGTTCATATAGTGAACTCGGTGTAGAGTTATTCACCCTGAGGTCATCACAGAGGACACTTTGTACGTCTGGAGGAAAAGAAATTTAATCTTCAAATACGGAAAGGTTTCTTCACAGTGAGAGCTGTGAAAATGTGGAATAGACTCCCTCAAGAGTTGGTTATGGCCAGCTCAGTGGATTGCTTTAAAAAAGTCCTGGATTATTTCTTATATACACAGAATATAACTGGATACTAACATTTATAAGTAAAGTTGATCCAGGGAATATCTGATTGCCTCTCGGGGGATCAGGAAGGATTTTTTCCCCTGCAGGAGCAAATTGGATCATGCTTTGCTGTTTTTTTTGCCTTCATCTGGATCAACTGTGGGTATAGGAATATAACTTTTTTTTTATGGTTGAACTGGATGGCCTTTGTCTTTTTTCAGCCAGACTAACTATGTAACTATTTAACTTGTACAAAAATGTAGATCAGCAAAAGTATTGCACTGTCTCTTTTAAGGAGCACTGAAGCCCCCCTGATGCACCTCCTCAGACACCAATTGAATTCTTCTTCACCCAGCTGCACTGAGGGTATCCATGAGCAATGGATTCCAAGAGCTGCAATTAAGTAGAACTAGTTGGGTCTTGCACCTGACTGCCCTCTCTCTTTATCTGGTCCAGGGGGTGTAGAAGTACTCACACTGTCCTGTCCTGCCATTTCAGTGGGTTGGTGGCTGACTTCAGGCCTTACGCTGGGCTGACTCTTCTGCTGCACAGGTTGCCCTCCCTTTGGGACAGTGGAGATCTTTCTATCAAGCAACCAGCCTGTAGGTAAGCTCTCCTCCCTTGGGCCCCCTTCCAGGCTCTACACTCTATCCTTCTCTCAGTCCATCTTCCATCTGACTCCAGCAACAACTCCCCTGCTGCACAGGCTCTGCCACATTTAAGGGCTGTCCTTCTCCCCACTACACGACCTCTTGCCTGGGGATTGGCTAAGTTCCCCTAAGCATGCAAAATCTGGGCCTCCTCCGCCCCTCTTCCAGATAATTCCAGCAGTTTCTGGAAGGGAGGAAGGGGTTCCAGAAACCCTTACCTGTAGAGCCTCCCAGCCTGTCCTGAGGTGATTTCACTACCTCACTCCCAAGCTGACTCATCCCAGGCTGCTACTCAGCCTCTGATTCACAAAAATAAATCCTATCTAGCTAACCTAGAGGGCGTTACATATAAAAGAATACTACCAAAGTGGTTTATATTGCACTAAACATTCCATCCATCCAATTATTGTATGTATTGCTAATACAGGCATAACTCGGTTTATGAATTGAATGCGTTCTGCGGGACTTTTTGTATTGCAAGAAATTTGGAAACTGAAAAGTGGTTTCCCATAGGAATGCTTTGAAAACCAATTAATCCGTTCTGGAGGTCAGAAAAAAGTAAAAAAAAGTCACTGTTCAAAACTCTTCATAAAGTACACTTTAACCTCTTCGGCGGTATGATTCTTTCTGATTTTTTGTGCTGAAAGCGGTACCATTTTTTTGCATGGAAATATGTAGTTTTTTATTGTAAGCTGTAATTTTTAGGAATAACTCACTGAAATCTGTCCGAACAAGAGTCTATTAAACATCCCGGGTAGGATAAAATTTGAAACACGAAATCATAAATTATAATTTAATAAATAATCATAAAAAATAATAATATAATAATAATACATTTAATTCAATAATATAATCAAACCAAAAACACTGAAATTTGAAATACAGAGGCAAATTCGCACATCGCTGAGCAAAGTCGCAAAATCGTTTTCAGTGTCTGATGACGAATTTCCCCCATGAATCATTATCACTCAATTCTGCAAGTGGTTCTGATTTACTATCGCTGTTCTCTAGCCGGTCTACAACCGCTTTTGATGTAAAAGGACGCTTTTTGGACGCCATGGACTTTTCTAAGTTTCCAGGCAGAAAGAACAGTAAAAATGCAGGCAGAGCACAGGACAAAGCAGTAGGGACAAAATATATGTGAAATGCATTGAAACAGCAATGACAGCAAAAATAACATTTTTAAAAAATTTCCCGCCGGTTCCGGCGCCCGTACGTCCCGACCTCACAGGGACCGGAACACAGAAGCCGGATGCCGGCATCGGCCGGAGGAGATGGCCGGGGACACTGCAGGGGACACATCACGGGAGCGAAGGACAAGGTGAGTGCTGCAGGGACCCCCAGAGCAGTGCCGCATGGTAAGCCCGAGTGTAGCTCGGGGTTACCGCTCTTGGTATAGAAATTTTACCCCGAGCTACACTCGGGATTACCGCTAAGGAGGTTAAAGGCATATATACTGCACAGGGACATGATAAAAAGTTAATTTGTAAATGCATTGAAAACCAATTAATCCATTCCGGAGGTCAGAAAAAGGTAAAAAAAAGTCTCTGTTCAAAAACTCTTTATAAAGTGCACTTTAAAGGAATAAATACTGTACAGGGACACGATTCAAAAAAATTTGTAAATGCATTGAAAACCAATTAATCCGTTCATATTGTGAAAAAAATTAGTAAACCGAGTCATTATTTTCAATGGATTTTTATTCTTAAACCGAAAATGACGTTAACCGAGGTGTTGGTAAACCGAGGTATACATGTATAAACAAAATGAAGCAGTGCTCTGTTTCAAGTGCTCCTTTTATGCATTGACCAATTTCCATTGACCCAGAGGGGTGGATTGTGGAGCTGTGCACTTTGAAGGTGCATTTGCACTCATTTCCCCCCCCAGCTTAGTAAATGCGGTAAATCTCTGCTGATTTTCCAATCATCTAATCGCATGCAGGAATGCAAAAAATGCTTTTTTTCCTTACAGCTGATCGGGTATTCTTTACAAAGTGAAGCTTTACCACATTTACTAAGCTCTGGGGAAAATGAGTCTATTTGCCTTTAGTAAATCCGCCCCCACGGTATTGGTGAATTGTGGTGTGGTAAATCATGATTCTGTCTGGCAGGCAGGGAGTATGAAATGTCTCTGGGTATGTGGGGACACCCCAGCCTGGGCCTCTTAGCACTCACACAGGGAGCCCTGGGTACACATTCTCCCCCATGGTTCTAAGTACAATCTCAGAGACAAAGCGAACGCCGCCAGCCCTGAGACAAAGATAATAATACACAAAATAATTCTAAACTCCGAGGTTCTAACCCAGCAGGCTGCACTAAGTATTCCTCATTAATAAGCCATCGAGGGCTCTCCGAGTGATTTTGGAAGCCATGTGGGACCAAATATCCAAAGTAGAGGAGCATTCTGATCAAACTGCAGTCCCGGCTAATTAACAGACCGGGATTAATTAATTCTGAGAGATACAGTAAATGTCAGTCTACTAATCCATCTGGGATAAAACAAGATGCTTAGAAATTAGAAGAAAATACTGAAAGTTTTTTTTAAGGCTTTTTAGCCATCAACCACTTCACTGCCAGAGCCACTGTGTCATTGACCGGGGCACAGAGCTCGTAACATGTCATTTACAGAGTTTATTGTGATGTATGGAAGCTGCACAGCAGCACTTCTCTTGTCATGTATGCTGGGTGTAATTCTTGGTATCTGTCCTTATTCTTTATGTATGGACTCTGCACAGTCCCACTTCTCTTGTCCTGTATGCCGGCTGTCATTCTCAGGATCTATCCTTATTCTGTATGTATGGACTCTGCACAGTCCCACTTCTCCTGTCCTGTCTGCCGGGTGTAATTCTCAGTATCTCTCCTTAATCTGTATGTATGGACTCTGCACAGTCCCACTTCTCCTGTCCTGGATGCCGGGTGTAATTATCGGTATCTGTCCTTATTCTGTATGTATGGACTCTGCACAGTCCCACTTCCCCTGTCCTGGATGCCGGGTGTAATTCTCAGTATCTGTCCTTATTCTATATGTATGGACTCTGCACAATCCCACTTCTCCTGTCCTGTATGCCAGGTGTAATTCTCAGTATCTGTCCTTATTCTGCATGTATGGACTCTGCACAGTCCCAATTCTCCTGTCCTGTCTGCCGAGTGTAATTCTCAGTATCTGTTCTTATTCTGTATGTATGGACTCTGCACAATCCCACTTCTCCTGTCCTGTATGCCAGGTATAATTCTCAGTATCTGTCCTTATTCTGCATGTATGGACTCTGCACAGTCCCACTTCTCCTGTCCTGTCTGCCGAGTGTAATTCTCGGTACCTGTCCTTATTCTATATGTATGGACTGCACAGTACCACTTCTGTCCTGTATGCCGGGTATCATTCTCAGTATCTGTTCTTATTCCATATGCGTGGACTCTGCACAGTACTACTTCTCCTGTCCTGGATGCCGGGTGTAATTCTCTGTATGTATTCACATTCTGTATGTATAGACCCTGCATAGCACCAGGAAGGAAGAAAAGGAAGGGAAAGAGGGAGCAGAGAGGATAGGAGGAAGGAAGGAGGTAGGTGTGAAAAGAAGGAAATAATGAAGAAAAGGAGGAAGAAAGGAATAAAGCAAGGAAGAAAGACATGAAGGAGGGGAAAAGTAAGAAGGAAAGAAGAGAAGGAAAGAAAGGAGAGAAGAAAGGAGAAGCAAGGAACTAATGAAGGATGAAGGAGGAAAGGAAGGAGGGGAAGTATAGCAGGCAGAGAGGGAAAAAGAGAGAAAAATAAAAGAAGGAAATAGAGAAAAAGGATGGCAAGCATGAAAAAAAATTGTAGGAGGGAAGGAAAAAGTGTAAGAAAGAAACTAAGGAAGGAAGAAAAGAGAGAAGCGAAAGAAGAGGAAGGAGGGAAGGAAGGGGGGAGAGAGGGAAGGTGGGAACGAATGGGGGAGGGAAGGAAGGGAGGAGAGAGGGAAGGAGAAAAGGAAGGGAAGAGAGAGGGAAGGAGGGAAGATAGGGGGGAGAGAGGAAAAAAAGGAAGGAAGGAAGGAATGAAATAGGGGAAAGGATGGGAAGTAAGAAAAAATGTATAAGAGGGAAAGGAGTTAAGTAGGAAGGAAGGATGAAGGAAAGTGGGAAGAAACGGAAAATGGAGTAAGGAAAGAGACAAGAGAAAGGAAGGAAGGAAGGAAGAAAAGAAGGGACAGAAGGAAATAAATAAGGTAAGTGAAAGAAGAAAGCAAAAATACAGAAGAAAAGATAGTTGGTAAGGAAAAACAGGTAAAATGAAGGAAAGAAGGAAGGAGGGAAGTAGAAAGAAAGAATGAAGGAAAGTAGGAAAGAAGGAAGAAAGAAAGGCAAGAAACAAGAGATAGGATGTGGAGGAAGGGAAGAAAGGTAGAAGGACGGATGGAAAGGGGATAGGAAGGCAGGAAGGGAAAAATCCAAAAGAAAGAAACGTGCAATAATAACCGATGTTTCTCCTCCCCTCCAAAGACTGCTGCAAGAGTCACCTGCATGGTCCTATGATATAAAATATCACTCTGATTCCTGCTTACATTTAGAAGACCTGACCCACTTCCAGCCTTTCCTGATCCATTCATCGTACATACTTACTACCCCCTTCCCTACCTGGGCATACTATGAGAGGTGTCGGTCATCTCTAGCAAGGCTCCATGTGCTGCACACAAAGCTTTGTCCTCATCGACTCCTTGCTGACACATCGCTTTCACCCCTTCCTCATTGTACGATGTGATGACAGATGAGCATTGTCAGCACAGAGATGTGACACTTCCTCCAATGAATGTGATGATGGCTCTCCCTTTACTTTCATCAACAGAAATATAGCAAATACATCATTGGCATCACTGAGAAACCTTACCTGCTGCCTGAGAAGCTGGTGTCTGTAGCATGCCGGGCACGTCCAAAGACAAGGCAAGCATATATGGTAAATTTAGAGCAGGGGTCTCCAAACTGCGGCCCGAGTGCCAGATGTGGCCCTTTGCTACCCTTTATCTGGCCCTTGGGGCACTATTCATCCCACTGAGACCAACAATAGGGCAGTACTTCTTCCCATGAAAACCAATGATGGAGTACTGTTCTTCCCACTAATACCAATGGTGGGGTACTACTCCTCCGCCTACTGACCAACAACACTGAGGCCATGTTTATTCTCACTGATGCTGTGGCCAGGACATTTTCTATCCTCACTGCCCCAAATCCAGCCCTCCTAAAGTCTGAAGGACAGTATACTGGCCCTTTGAACAGTTTGGAGACCCCTGATTTAGAGTTTGAAGCGTTGGTTCATTTCACAAAATTCCTAAAAAAAAAATCCTCAACAATATAGATTGTCAGTAAAGCAAATGGATTTAAGAAAAAATGCATGAAATAAGAAATTACTCAGTTAAATTTTTTCAACGTGGAAAATCTTAATTTAAAATTTGCTTTAAAAGTTTACTTTTTTTTCTTTATTTAAAGGGTGTGGTTTAGGGGTGTATTTAGGGCAGTTTAGTGTATTTACATGTTGTAGTTTATTGTTGGTGATATTTGTCTTTTTTTCCCTTTTTTGTGTGTACTTGTTGATTACAAATAAAATAATATAATATAATAAATAAAATAATACATACCTCTAATTTCAACTTCTACATTGACACCAATGCATTTCATCAAAATATCAAAATTTCTCGTTTTTTTTTGCCTACAATTTGGGAGAACACTTGCTAATAGAAGAGCCTAGTGTACATTTTTTGATATATGGGGCCGTTTTTGCTAGAAATACCTTAAACTTCTAAAAAAGTATATATTTTCTGAAAACAGAGGGGTGTGGGGGTGCTTTAAATGTATTATTTTTATTAATGTAGCATTTCCCCCTTAGAGATTGCTAATGACGCCCTATAGTTTTGCACAGCCATGCAATCTGCATTCTCCATACAAGCCTGCATCAAGAGTCAGCAAATCAGTCCTTGAGCTTTTGATGTGTATTTTATTGGGGGATTCAACTGGGATAGGGTAAGGGGGGCATAGAATGCCCAAGGGAACCGATAACTGAAGACAAAGTTCCTGGAACTGTTCACAAGCTTTTCTTCTGCAACACAGTCTCTATTGGATTGCTAGCCAGCAGCTCCTAGTTGTACCACCCCAGACCCTAGTTGAACTCCTCTTCACCCTGCAATCTGGAAACTTTTCCAAAGCAGGGGATCTGGCTCCTGTCCCTTTAAATGGGTAAACAGGGAATAGTAGGGAGCTCATTTGGTTTCCCACCAGAGTGCTCCTTCCCCTATCTGCCCAGGGGGTGCAGGTGTACTCACTCAGATCCTCTCTTGTATCGCTTGCAGGTTGGCTGCTGCTACCAGGCCTATCAGCTGGGCCGCTCCTTCCCTGCCATATAGGTAATTTTCTCTCGGGGCCAGTGAGCTCTGAGTTTTCCACCTCTCCAGCTCCTTGCTTGCATCATCCCCCTAGGCCTCCTGGCAGCCTTCCTCCTCCAGCTTCACATCTTCCTACTCCTTCCACTCGACTCTCCACCACCCATCTCCTGCTACTGAGAAGACTCTATCACTTTTAAGGGAGCTCCAGCCCCTTGCCAAGCCTTCTGTGGGGATTGGCTGAGGTCCCTCAAGAGTGCAGCCAGTCCTCAGATCCACCTACTGCCGCCAAGGCCTTCCTACAAAAGCCTCAACAGGGGGAAATTCCAGAGGGGCTGGCCTGCAGTCTCCCAGCGTGACTACAAATTGCCCCCTCTGGCTATTACACCTGAGCTGCTAATCAGTTCCTGTCTAACCATTAGAATCTAGCTCCCCCTAGCTGAACTAGGAGGGTGTTAGATTAATGTTATCAATTTTGTTTTCTTTAACTTTAGTGCTATCACAAGGGGGGAAACAAGCCCCAATATCTCCCCTGGCCTCCACTGCAGCTAATCAAGCACAGACATGTTTGTTTAGCTGCATCCTTCGGCTACAGTAGAAGGAGAATGGCAGCTGTCAACCTGGAAGTGAGGGGATACACATCTCTTTGGGGTTCAGAGAAATGGGAGAGCCCAGGAACCACCACGGGCACCACAATTGGGAGAGTGAGGGCAAAACCTTCTGAGCCCCATAAAAGCGATTGGGTGGTTCTAGGCTTATCTCCCAATACGCATCAGAAGCTGCAGCAAGAGCCCTCATCATTTTCTGTCTAGAGGACTTCCAGCATTATCTAGCTCTTACCTGAGAGCTAGATGTACTCTTACTCTTGGACTGCTCTGCTGCCTTTGACACAGTTGACCATCCCCTCCTCCTTAAAAAAACTCTATTTACTTGGTCTCCATGACTGTACTCTCCATTGGTTCGAATCTTACCTATCTCACCACACCTTCAGTGTCACTTATAACTCTACTTCCTCCTCTCCTACTCTTCTTACTGTCGGGGTCCCCCAAGGTTCTGTCCTTGGACCTCTCCTATTCTCAATCTACACCTCTTCCTTGGGTCAGCTGATAGCTTCCCATGGTTTCCAATACCATTTCTATGCTGATGACACACAAATCTATCTCTTTACTCCTCAGCTCACCCCATCAGTTTCCTCACGTATCTCCAATTTACTAACAGACATATCAGACTGGATGTCACACCACTTCCTAAAACTCAATCTATCCAAAACTGAGCTCATAATATATCCTCCCCCACGTGCCACTTCCCCTGATGTCTCTGTCAGGATCAATAGCACCACTATCAACCCATCCCCCCTTGCCTGGGTGCTATGGGTAACCCTGGATTCTGAACTATCCTTTCAGGCCCACATCCAATCCCTGTCCAAATCATGCCGCCTCAACCTTCACAACATCTCCAGAATATGCCCCTTTTTAACCAATGACACCATAAAGCTCCTGGTTATCTCGCTCCCTGGTTATCTCTCGCCTCGACTACTGCAACTACCTCTTCATTGGCTTGCCTTTACATAGGCTATCCCCTCTCCAGTCCATCATGAATACTGCTGCCATCCACCTTACCAACCATTCAGTGTCTGCTACAACTCTCTGCCAATCCCTCCACTGGCTTCCACTCATCCAATGAATAAAATTCAAATCACTAACAACAACTTACAAAGCCATCCACAACTCTTCCCCAGTTACATCACCAACCTGGTCTCAAAATATCAACCAAACCGCTCTCTTCGATCCTCCCAAGACCTTCTGCTCTCTAGTTCCCGTGTCACCTCCTCCCATGCTTGCTCCAGGACTTCTCCCATCCTATGGAACTCCCCACCCCAATCTCTCTGGCTATCTCCTAATCTCTTCACCTTTAGACAATCCTTGAAAACCTCTTTAAAGAAGCCTATTCTGCTTCTAACTAGTAAACTACCTGTTATTTCCTAAATCAACTCATCACCCACAGCCATTACCTTTTGTATCACTCAACCCTTCCTGCTAGATTGTAAGCTCTAATGATCCGGGCCCTCTGTTTCCTCTTGTACCAAATAGTATTGTA